TTAAAATTCAGTTCGATATAGTGAAGTATATATAGTATTCTCTTGATATAAGCTATAGTGAAGATTTTTTTCCTCAGTCCGATGACTTCACTATAATGAGTTTGACTTGTACTTTTCATCATTGATGAAGAAGAAAAAGGACCATTGGTTCAATTTATACTACTTCGACTAACAGCTTGATTTAGAAAGGGATCTTATTTAGTATAGGTGGGAATATATTGTAAGATTATATAATATAAAAAACTCTAACCCTAACCCAAAGCTATCTATAAACTATACTATGACCCTCACCCTAACTAGTCTCAATTCTGTTTATATTAGTTCAAATAATTATTTTTATATTAAAAAATCTTATAATATTTATATATTCCCACCTATACTAAATATCAACCCATGGGTCAAATAATTAAAGATCCTTTAATTATAATGTTATTAGATACAAGTGAAAAATTAAATATGCATATATATGTAAAGCCAATAATAATATAGTAAAAATATTATCAAAATTTCTTTATAAAAATATTACTAAAACTTCTCTAGTTGAATTTAGTTTTGAGGAATTAGAAACACTAGCAGATGTTAGTTAAAATATTAGCTTAATTTTATTAAAACTTTGTGAATATGGACTTGATTCTAAGGAGGCAAAAGTATTAACAGAGTTTTTTTTATGAAAATACGGCTTTATCTTCTCTTGTCTCAAACAAAATTGGAGATGAAGGAATAAAAGCATTTGCAAAAATTCTTGAAGATGTAAAAGCATTTGCAGAGGTATTTTATAAAAATATCATACTAACCACTTTATAACTTACTGGTAATGAATACTTCTCTAACCCACTTACTTGGCATAAAGGTGTGACGAATCATTTGTGCGACAAATAAATCAACTAATTGATTCTATTATTTAATGTTTATTAATCACGCCCAGGTGAACCCTTCCATTTGGCATAAAGATGATGACGAATAAGCATTAAATAATAGAATCAATTAGTTAATTCTTGCCAAATGATTCGTCACACCTTTATGCCAAGTGCCTGGGTCATCTATAATAGATAGTATACCGATCGTTAATCGAATCGGCCGAAAAATCATTAGACTATTTTTTATCAGATGTTTCAGTAATGATGTAAAAATTGCTATATATAAATTTTTTTAAAAAAAAGTCGGCCAAAAGTTTCATGCTACGAGAACCAATAAATTAAATTTGCGTGACCTTAACTAAGTTACAGGTTATATATAATGCGAAAAATAAGATTTTAGAATTAGAATTAATTTTAAGAGTTAAAATCTCAAAAAAAAAAAAAAAATAGAGGTATTTCCTTTATTCATTGGCATAATTATTTTTTATCAAATAAAGAACGTAAATGGATCTAGATACGGCTTACATTCCGCAAAATATGATTAGTATGATGGGCTATTGGCATTATCTACTTCAACTATATTTTTGTAGTTTAGAGTACCATTGAACATACCTATTGCCATTTCCTTATAGTTCTTAAGTGCTTTTAAAATATAATACCAAAAACAACCCTCACAATTTTTGAACAGAAATATGGCAACAGACATTACGCTTACTAATAAGAATGTAGAATATTATAGAATTGTACATAAGGTTTATATAAAATCTTCATTTGGTACAATTTCTCCATTTACATCGATATCAATCCCCTCTTTGGGCGGTGCGCATTTCGCCGACAATCACTTCACCGACAGCTTAGTTCACCGACAATTAATTCACAGACAAGTTCATTTCACCG